GAAATCACAATCAACCACCCCTTTAATATATTTCAAAATGAAATTTATTCCTGTGATGGCAAAGCTGAATTTTTAGCATAATTACTCCAGTCTTCAGTGTCACACGATCTTTCAGAATTAATTCTAATATGCTGATTTGGTGCTCAAGAAACAGTCCTTATTAATATCAATGTTGAAAACAACTGTACTGCTTAATTTTTTGGTGTCCTTTGTTTTGCTTTTTTCAAATAGAAATTCCAAAATAATTGCATTTATTTGAAACAGAAATGTTATATTGTAAATGTCTCTACTGTCACTTTTGACAGCTACCCCAGACTTTTAAACGGTAATGTATGTGCTGCGTTTACCTTCCCACACAGGTAGACCACATTAGTATCGGGATCATAGAAGGGCAGGAGGACTCCATTACTGGTGTCCATCTCATGGACAGAAACTGGCTCCTCCATATTCTCCTGACAGACAGACAGAGCAAATATATTGTCTAAATATATTGAAAAGGACAATTATATGTCACTTCCATCAGAAACTGCAACTAAAAGTTATTTTCTTAATCTGGAAAACATAAGAAATATCAAAGTTAGGCAAGCCTAAAGTGTATCTGTTTGCATTTATTTATGAGCAGGTGTTAGGATGAAATTTGTCTACGGTTTCCATGGCAACTTACCGGATCCCAGAGGGCGAGTTGTCTCTCGCTCATGCGGCTAAAACCAGTGGTGAACACTTTGCCGTCAGACAGGAAAATAGCTCTTATGGGCCTGGCACCCTCATGGGCCTTGTCCTTCTCCTGTCAGCGAGGCACACCATAATACATCACAATACTGCTCACATTCACTCAAAACCGAGCAGCCGAATGCTTTTCACACATCAACATACAGCACTTCAACTGACAGAGAAAAGCCAGAGAAACATGTCAATCCATGTAATTCAGAAACTATTATATTCAGAGTTAACAAATAAAATCTATAAACACTACCTGTCCATTTGCTTCAGAAAAGCAAGCACTCACCGCAACGATCTCCTCCTTGCGCGGGTCGATCACACGGACCTTCTTGTCCTTGCATGCAGTGCAGATGAGACTGCCGTTGCGGTTCCAGCAGACGCTGAAGATGATGTCAGGGTGCATATCCTCAAGGGTGATTATGGCTTCCCCCGTCCCCACATTCCAGATGATAATCACATTATCACAGCCTGCAGAAAAACCCAAAAGAAAATGGGGAAATAATCACGTTTGAATGTTAAAGAAGCTATTTATTAGACAGCAGCTTCAGCTGCTTTTTCCATTGAAGCTATTTTGACAGATACTGATAAAGGCAACTGGATGAGTGTCAAAACATTAAAAACACAAACACGAAACGTTTCTATCAAATGTCCTTCTCCCTGACGGATCAGGTGAGGCTTCTCACCTGCGCTGAGCAGGATGTTGCGGGCGGTGGGATGCCAGGTAATGATTCCCACTCTCTTAGAATGACCCTCCAGCACCACCACTGGCTCTGGCATAGAGGTCACCAATCCATTCTCTGGGATCTGCCACACCTGAAAACAACAAAAAAATATTAATGTTCAAATATTCAATTTATCTAAAATATTACTGAAGTGCAAGTATACATGGAAATGAAGTATATCGTTAAACAAGCCTAAAACCATTACAACATCACTTTCGGCAAATTAAATAATGCTGAAATAAAAATACATAAATATTAAATGAAAAAATTAGACGTAAAAATGTAAAATTAAAGAAAATTAGAAATGTTGCCTTGGCAACTAACTTGAAGTTGAAGTACTATATTACTAAAAACTAAAACAAATGAAAATAAAAGCTAAACAGAAATATTAAACAAATAATAAATGACATAACTAACTTACTAAAATAAAAACTGAAATATAAAAATAAATGCCAATTTAAAATTAATAAATACCAAATAGCATATAAATAACACTGAAACAAAAATAGTTGCTAAAATGAATCATATTGTGAACCAAATATTTTATTAAACAAAATCACCTTGTTTAACTTCTATACTTAATTCATTTGCCAGGAGGTCGCAAATATCAGATGAAAAACTGAAAAAAATTTTTTTTAATAAAAATAAAATGTTAGAAATGTTGTATTGGCAATTAACCGGAAAAAAGTTAAACAAAACTGAAATGGAAATAGAAATAGACAAATAAAAAAACGAATAAAATGACAAAAGCACACAACTAAATTACTAAAATTTTAAATATAAATATCAAAATGCTAATTCAAAATATAAAAAATACCACCTGCATATAAATAACAGTAATTTAAACAATTACGTTTAACTCAGTGTTGTTTTAACTACATTATGATGGAATCTGATTAAACTATTTTGTTTCACTTTACATTGATTTATTAATTTTGAAGTTACATTCATTTTCACTCGTTTCATTAATTTTACTGAAGGTGGCAGCAGAGGGCAAATAATGGAGTCCAGCAGAGTTTTGATTTTAAACGATTAAAAGTACAGATGTTCTTTCAAATTTTTATGGCAGAAATAGTAATAGTAGTATGCGATTTTTAAGTCAGCCTCTCTCCTTAACTTCCATTCTTCTCAGCTACACATCGATTATTCTCAGCATTTATTACATACATGTATTACATACAACAGCTCTCAGAAACACTTGATTCTGATTGGATAATCACAACATTTTAAGACTAAATATTTCTATATAATAGACTGTGTAATAGACTGGATGAGTGTACATTATTCCCTCACATAGCCACCGCAAAACCTGTTTAATGTAATTATCATCATCATCCCCTAAACACATCATAGGTAACTAATGAAATTGCCCTCCAGCATGTCTATACTTCAATGTAATTCAGATTTCATGAATCTAAGAATGTAGGGCAAAAAACAAACAAACAAAAACACATAGGAATCATCAACTTTTCAGGACTCTGTATTCCCCAAGAGAGGACAAGAGACAGTGTCCTGTTAAACTCAACACTCATCACACGTACACAAGCACTAGAGTTGCTGTTTTTTCTGCACACTGGCCAAACAAGGGCTAGTAGCATGATAAATAGACCCAGAGCCAGCCAGACTGACCTCAGAACTATAAAATAGTAACTGCTGATTCAATGACTTCAGGCTGGGCTTAAACTAATCTAAAACAGTCCAGAAGAGCAAGCCTTCAGTTATGCTGTGATCCGATCTACTGCCGTTCACATGAGTCATGGGGCAGACTTTGCCAGCCACACATGGACTCAATGGCTGGGTGGAGATGTGATGCCGGCTATTCAAGGAAACTTTATCTACAAATGGTCATATCCACCCATAAAAAAAACAAGCTTTAGAATAACTGCAGGGGTTTAGCAAGGGTTGTACTACATAAAATAAATTTCTGTACAGAATCAAAACTTGCTGCTACTCAACAGTTAAGTTGGTGTCAAATTAAGTGTAGAAGAAATGCTTATGATTAGGGGTTCAAAAACGCATTAAGGTGTATAATTCTGACAATTAACACATCACATTGCATTGATTACAGAATAAAAAATAAAAAAAAAGTGAGGTGACATGTGGCCAAGTATGGTGACCCATACTCGGAATTAGTGCTCAACTTTTCAGGACTCTGTATTCCCCAAGAGAGGACAAGAGACAGTGTCCTGTTAAACTCAACACTCATCACACGTACACAAGCACTAGAGTTGCTGTTTTTTCTGCACACTGGCCAAACAAGGGCTAGTAGCATGATAAATAGACCCAGAGCCAGCCAGACTGACCTCAGAACTATAAAATAGTAACTGCTGATTCAATGACTTCAGGCTGGGCTTAAACTAATCTAAAACAGTCCAGAAGAGCAAGCCTTCAGTTATGCTGTGATCCGATCTACTGCCGTTCACATGAGTCATGGGGCAGACTTTGCCAGCCACACATGGACTCAATGGCTGGGTGGAGATGTGATGCCGGCTATTCAAGGAAACTTTATCTACAAATGGTCATATCCACCCATAAAAAAACAAGCTTTAGAATAACTGCAGGGGTTTAGCAAGGGTTGTACTACATAAAATAAATTTCTGTACAGAATCAAAACTTGCTGCTACTCAACAGTTAAGTCGGTGTCAAATTAAGTGTAGAAGAAATGCTTATGATTAGGGGTTCAAAAACGCATTAAGGTGTATAATTCTGACAATTAACACATCACATTGCATTGATTACAGAATAAAAAATAAAAAAAAAGTGAGGTGACATGTGGCCAAGTATGGTGACCCATACTCGGAATTAGTGCTCTGCATTTATCCCATCCAAAAAGCGCGTACACACACACACACACACACACACACAGAGCAGTGGGCAGCCATTTTTTTTTGCTGCAGCGTCCGGGGAGCAGTTGGGGGTTCAGTGCCTTGCTCAAGGGCACCTCAGTCATGGTATTGAAGGTGGGAGAGAGCGCTGTGCATTCACTCTCCCCACCTACAATCCCTGCCGGTACGAGACTCGAACCTGCAACCTTTTGGGTTATGAGTCCGACTCTCTAACCATTAGGCCACGACTTCCCCAAATGTAATAGTTAGTTATAATTTATATACATTTATATCATTTATACATGTACTACCAAGTTCGGGATCATTTTTTAAAGAAATTAACACTTTCTAACATTAAATTGATTAACATTAAAAACAAAACATTCTCATTTTCCACTAGGTATTTTCATCTTTTTGGCACGCTCTGCAGCAACTGATCACTAAAGATCTGGGTATACTTCACTTTCTGCATTCCGTTCCGTCTCGCGCACAACCGAGTCCACACAGCTTTCAAAGAATACTCGACCGCGACACACGTGCAATATCACCTACTTGTCTCAACATTCACCTCGTGCCATGATGACAGCAAATGTAAGGAAGGGTGACGTACCATCACGGTGCAGTCTTCAGATCCACTAGCGATGACCTGGTCATTGTGAGGACACCAATCAATGTCCAGAACAGGGCCAGTGTGGCCACATACTGTAGGGTAGGCCTTATCGATACGGCCCGTCTGCAGAGAGAAAACACAAAGACAAATATTAGATTATGAAAGCATTCGGCTCTTTGGGTAAATGAACTGAGCTCTGACAATGCCAGCTCTACTTAACACCAAAACAAACACTAACAGCCTGGCCTGCGCTCATGAAATGAGGGGGGAGAGAAAGCCATTCTTTTCCAAATTGACAAACAATAGCTCATCCGGTCATTCAAACCAACAGCAGAAACATTTACACACGGCAGCGGATTCATAATAAAAACAGATTGCTGGGCTTTTGTTCTCGCAGCTCGGCATTTGAATGCAGACACAGAAATACACGTGCAACGGGCCCTTGACCCTTTCACTCAGAGTGAAAGGTCACAAGGAGGTTTGGGCATCAAGAAAGTGTGAAAAAGCTAAAACAAGACTATTTTGCCACAATTAAAAAAAAATATCTATCTATGATAATTATAAACCACAACAGTTAAATATTAAACGCAAAGATAAACACTAAACAATATATTAATTCTATTTTATTAGACATTTAACTAATATTGGGAATAGAACTATAAATGTAATTGCACATCTTATTTGGTAAATATTTGATTCCTTCCATCAGTTCTTTAAAATGGAAAGTTTAAATGAATCAGTTCAGAGATTTTTTGCATCACAAGTCAAAAATGTTTTATTTATATTTTTAAAAAGGAGGTAAATAACATTGGTGCATATACATAAAATCAACACTGGATAACGAGCCTTATTTATTAATTAATTTAAAAAATATATATATATATTTTTACTGTATTTCAATTTCCAAATATTACTAAGATTTTGTATTTAAAGAGATGTAGACTAGTCCAAAGGCAGCCAGATTTCACCATCACATCCAATGTGACTGTTTACACGCATGTTTGTATATGAAAAACAACAGAAGATTTCCCTCCTCTCCCTTGTACACAGCAAACAAAGAAGCCAAATAAAGGCATGGCTGCGGTCCCATGCCCAGTCAGCTGACTTCTTGATGACATCAGTGCCCTCTGCTCTCCGGGTCACGACCCTTGATCTCTTGCGAGACCACAATCTCTGCACAGGTCTGTGATCATGTGTCGAGAGACGACCACACCCACACTTTTGCACACGCTGCTGCTTTGCCTATGGTGCGATGACATCACAGCAGAAAGCCCAGCCCAGTAAAGCACAACACCCTGGGCTATTCTCAGGCCCGGCCTGTACAAAAAGACACAACCCACCTGTGTGGAAAACCACTCTGTGTACACATTCCTTCTCAAGTCTGGGCATGGTTATAACACAGCCTTACGAAAGAGAAACTATACCTTTCACAGCTATTTGCTAGCTAACCACCCCGTTTCTTTTGAAGTGCGTGTGGTAGTTTCAAATGAGAAGAACGAAAAAGGCACCAAAACAGCATTTCGCAAGAAAAGATCAAAGGTAACTGGAGAGAAAGGAAGACAGAGGAATACGTAAAATGATGTTCTTGAAACAGAGAAAATAATCCAAGAATCACACACAGAGGCCTATTATCAGGAACACCGATTACCAATCACTTCATGAACAGCTAAATAAACATACAGACAGACGGGCTCTCACACACTGATACAGCGCTGCTGCTTGCCAATAAAAACAGAATTCACTTAAAGTTCCTAATTTAAAATCCAGCTGTGGGCAGCAGTCTGTCAACCATCACATGCACCAAAAAAACAACAAACCAAGATACGTGTTTGCATGAGACTAGTGTAAGAGAATCACTGATGCTGTCTGTGTTAGGAAGTTATGGCGATGCAATGCTGGTAAACACGATACGTGCAGAAAGGAGTGTGACCTGTAAATTCAGAATTCATGTGGTATAAAAAAAAATGTTGCCTAACATTTCTGCTTTTTACATTTCTTACTGTAAATGCAATAAAAACATAAAAAACAAATGTAAAAATATAAAATTAATTAATAAATAAATGTACAAATAAAATAAACACTGATGGAATGGAGTCAATCCTTGGGCAGCAGTTGTTTAACCATCACATGCTACAAAACATACCAAGAAAACTGGCTATCCCATGATCTTTTGCACTTCTTTTTTGGCTCGTTTAGTCAGACATGTGGAAGGAAGCGATGGCAGAAAAGACGGGGGAGGTGATATAAGGGCACTATAGTTCTCTCTCGAGAACCTTCCTGTAAACCAAAGCCTCTAAAGGAAGATCAGGATGATGCACACATTTGCCGTTATATTATTGGCATTTGGATTTATGGATCACTGACATCGGAGCAGAAGGTCATCAGTGATCATCTGCTTATGGATTCTAGATCGGCTTGCTTTATTATTTATTAACACATTCAGAGAGAGTATATAAAACTTGTCTATGTGCTTATATATGCAGGCTTGTGATCACAAGGATGAGCAACTTGTAAAAAAAAAACAGAAATGCAGCTATAGAGTGATTACATGATTCTAGATTTTTTGAAAGCCTAGTAAAGATCCTTTATAGAACAAAATTTGTCGGCAAGATGTCTGTATGATGTGTGCATTTTCACAGACGTTGTTAGAGTGCCTGCTCATAAGAAATACAAACAAGTTACAGCAGTTACAGGCAGATATTTTGTTTATTTTATTTTTTGTCTTTGCCATGTTTTGATTGGCCGATTTTATGGTGAAAAAAGTCTGAGATTAATCCAGCATGCATTATGCTGAATTTATATCATGAATATTTTTGTTAAATTCATTATAGCTTACTAAAACCGGAGCCATCCAAAACCGCCGTTGCAGTGCAGTTAGTCTAACCTTTTGCGTAGTGAGATCCCTCACCACAAGTAACACAGATCTGCCTTATCTCATACATTCAATAAACCATATTTAAAACAAGCTTCCTCACCTCAACAAAACCAAGTCAGAGAGAGAGAGAGAGAGAGAGAGAGAGAGAGCGAGAGAGAGAGTTACCAGTGAAGAGAGACATGGAAAGGAGGAAATGAAAGAGACAGAAAGACGGGACACACTGTGGAGGTGGCCAACAGAGGCAGAGCCGCTTTCTGCAGTAGCTGAAGCATGTCTGTCTTATCTAGTCAGCATGGAAATTTCCATTTCCTCTGCGAGCCCATGAGGACCCAGAGGCAGCAGACTACAGCTGACCTGACTGAAGCACCCCAGCAGCTGTCCAACCAGACGTCATGTCATTTTACATGAGCCACGCATACAGCCAATCAGGACTGAGAGGGCGGAGCCAACTGTGTGTCAGAATGAGAGGTGCTCAGGGCCAGCAGGTGTATGCAGTTGACTAATACATATGACCTAAATGGAGGAGGGTAGAATAGAGTAAAGAAATGAGGTAGAAAGATCACCAGATAACAGAGATCCTGTGGTTTAACACTCAAACACTTGAAAAATACATTAAATTATTTTAAACACAAAAATGCAATTCATTATGGATGAACAACCTAAAAAATAGTAAAGTACAAATGTGTACAAGTTTATATATAATTATTATTATGATATCTAATTTACTATATTATAAATAAATAAATAAAATAATTAATTAAATCACAAAGTGACTGACTTTTGCCATGTTGATTTATAGACAAATTATAAAATAATACAGTTGTTTCATGTCAAATTCTGTAAAGGATAGAAGAAATGCATTATTTTAAATACAAAATAAATTATTCTGGATGAACAACCTAAAAACAAAATAAAGAGTATAATTATATAAATGATATAATAATAATAATAAACATTTAATTATATGATATTTGTAATGTCATAAATATTATACATTTTTATAAACAATAACAAAACAAATCTCCTAATGACCACAGTGGACTTGACACATCAACCAAAAAAAATTCCTTTCACACTGCCCCTTTTTCTTCTCTGTTCCTATCAAAGAATCTATTGGGTGCAAGCACTGTGCTTCAGCCTATGGAAAGGAAAGAGGAAATGGGTCTGGAAGGCTGACAGGCGGGGAGCTGAGGATGACCATATAAGGTAAAATCTGCAGTCAGCAGCCGCCAGGGCTCAGTCAGTGCAGCAAGAACAGTAGGGGGCTCCTGGAATACAGACTGGGAATCAGAATGACACATCCATGGCCACACACACACACACACACACACACACACACACACACACGTTAAGTTACATCTGTCCATGTGGCAGCACAGGATATATGGAGGTAGACTTTGAGGTAAAGAGACTGAACTCTCACTTCCTTCCTGTGTGCCCCTTTTTCCTGTTTCTCTCTTCTCATCTGTGGTGTTCTGGTTCTCCTGATTTTCCGTAAAGTGACAGCAGGAATCAAATGGGACTGCGCAAGAGCCCAGTTCAGTGGCTGATATCCCAACAAATATGTCCAACATATGGTTGGATCAATACTAAATATTTTAGCTTCAATATGATACTAAATCAATACATAAAGCAGCAAATGAAGCCTCGGGTGACTGATGATATGAAACTAGGGCTGTAGTATGGATTTAATTTCATTAATATCAATTATTTGTAACCTGTTTACTTTCAACTTTTCAGCAACAACCTTTTCCTTAATTTTTCTTGCATATGCAACAAAGATGTTTTTTCCCCCACTGTTTCCCCATGGTCCCCTTATTGTTTATCCAAAAATATTTAATACATGATAACTTTGTTCTGATGATTAAATTCTGTGCAAATGTCATGCGAAAAGTGCTAATCTTTTTTTTTTAATAGCGAAGTTGAACTCATATCAAAATTTATGAACTTCACACTGATACTTAGGGCTGCACAATAATGGTTACACGGTTAAATCACAATTATTTTGCTCAAAAATGAAATCACAATTATTAATCACGGCTTACTGTCATTTAAAAAAAAAAAATTCATCATAATTATTGCACTTTCACATAAGCACAAATCAACTTGCATGGTTTGTGAGAAAGTGAAAGATAACAGATAGGTTGTACTACAATATTATTTGAGCAATTATGCTTAATAAATTGTGAGAAGTAGAAATCATGATCAATATTAAAATATGATTTATCGTGCAGCCCTATCTGAACTG